CATTTGGGCATTTTGGCTTGATATGCCCAACTTCTCCACATCCATAGCACTTGGGTGGTCCTCCATGCTTTTTACCCTTTCGTTCATACTCCTTGCGCATGAACTTGTGGAATTTCTTGATGACTAGCCCGAACTCGTTGTCTTCATCGCTTGATTCCTCCATGGCGGGTTCTTGGCTTGAGGAAGCCTTGAGTGCAATCCCCTTCTTCTTTTGTTCACCCAAAGAGGGGAATAAAATGGTAGACTCATAGGTTTTGAGGTTACCTCTAAGCCCGTCAATGGTGACGTTGGTGACACCAATGGACTCTTGGATGGCATCGGCTTTGGACCGCCACTCCGGTGTGAGACTTCGCCGGATTTTTCTCCCAAGCTCCTTGTCCGTGTACGTCTTCTTGAGAGCATGGAGATCGTTGACGATTTTGGAGAATCGTTCAAACATCTCATCGATTTTCTCATTCTCCTTCATACGAAACAATTCATATTCATGGGTTAGAAAATCAATTTTAGCTTCTCGGACTTGATCCGTACCTTCGTATGTGATTTCTAGTTTATCCCACATTTCCTTTGCGGTGGTGCAACAAGATATCTTCCGGTAGTCATCCGGGTTTACGGCACAATAGATGATATTGATGGCCTTGGCATTGTTTTCCACTTTCTTGATGTCTTGTGCATCATACTCGTTCTCGGTCTTGAGAACGTTGGTTTCCCCGACCTTCTTCATTGGCACGTCTTCACCATTCTTGATAATTCTCCAAAGGAGAAAATTGGTGGATTGGATGTAAATCCTCATCCGCTCCTTCCAATAGGTGTAGTTCGTTCCGTCAAACAACGGAGGCCTTGTGGTGGATTGCCCTTCACCTAAACGTGCGTATGAACTTTGAGTAGAAGCCATTGATCGTTTCTCTCAAACGGTTAAGTCTTACAGAGAGTAAGGCTCTGATACCAATTGTTAGAATAAAGGCCCAACGCTGGAGGGGGGATGAATAGCGTTTAAAACAAAATCGCAGGAAATTAAAACGAGAGCGTTAAAGTAAAGTGCGTAAAGAAAGAGCACACCAGATTTTATCCTGGTTCACCACAACGTGTGGCTAATCCAGCCCCCCGAGAGACTCTCTCGAGCTACACTAACTCCGTTAAGCTTAAGGGTGCTTAACAAACCGATACAACTTGAGAACCCGAGTCACACGAGCCTCAACACCTTTGCTCGGAGATACCGCACTCCAAGACTTCTCACGAAGGAACAAGGAACTTCCTTCAAGTTTACAACAAGGGAACAAACTCCCTTAAAGTGTATGAAAACACTTAAACACTCAGGAATAAAACTCTCACAAAGAGTAGATATGAGTGAACTAGTAAACGCTCAAGAACACGACAATTTCTTCAAGAATTGGCTCTCAAATAGCTA